CCTGGGCTGTCACGGAGGCGCTGCTGCTGCTTTTTGTCCTGATAAAGGAAATGTCATTTGCGGCTTTTAATAATAAGGCATCAGGGAAGCCCCGCTTCTCGTATCTGCTTTAGTAGGGCAGAACTGTCACGAGTTAATCGCGACATGTGACTCTAAGGTCAGGACAGATCGGTTTGGTTTTGCTCGGTTCTCTGCCAGTGTCGCAGACGTGGAGCTGAAGCACAAGGCACTAGGCCCCGTCATTCCTGCCCGTCCCCTTGCCAGGGCTGCTGCGTCCTGACTGTCTGGGAACGGTACGCCGAGGGCACGGTACATCTGTACATACCTACACGTATGGGTGTAGTCAAACACACCTTGGCGTTTAGTGCTCCCGCTACTGCCTCAAAGATACAGCTTGCTACGGTGACCATGGCTTGCCTGTGGCAGTGACCTTGTACATCTCACGTTGGGTTACAAGTCAAAATAAATTCTAGCTTAAAATTACTCCTGCCACAGCATTCATCACAACATCCATGGGAATTGCGTTGTTTCCATTGGTGGCAGCATAGTTGGTCCCTTTTGCCATGTTGAAGTTACTGATCCTGATACAATCGGGGATTTTATCCGTGGTGCTCAGCGAGGCAAGAGCTCAAGCTGAGCTATCATCCCAGTTTTGAAGCTTAATGCCAGTTTGGAATATTCATATGTTAGAAAGTGTAATTCTTTGACTGTGCTGTGGAGACTCGTTGCTATGGTGAATTTTGCCTTTAATGTGCATTTCAATTACGCTTTTTAAAAACTATCAGGCACGCAGAAGGCAACAGTACAAAACCTACGGATTGTGAAAGGTGGAAGAACAAAATTCACCGCAGTGGGAATGGAAGAAGCGACACTAACGCAAAGCAGAGTTGGAAACGTTACCTACACTGTGTAGTAAAAATACTGCCCACCCAACTGTTAGTGAAAGTGTTTGATTTTTCACGTAGCTTTCCACGAATGCTAATTCTTAGTATATCATCTATTCAGTTAGAGTTACCGCAACCTTATTTCCAATGTGTGGTATGTAAGGACTCGGGTTACTGTCTAGTAACTTCCCCTCAGCGCCAGGCAAGACAGGAGAGCGTGGTGCGCTGCAAAGCGTGGCTGTCCTGGGCTTACCTTGTGCTAAGAATACCCACAGGAGGTGTTGGTGCGCAGAATGTTAGCGAGCCACTTGGCAAAGCGTTCTGTAGTCTTGTTTCATTTGAGAGTTTGAGATAGGAAGTTTAAAGCAATATGATTTTTAAATGCAGATTTGCTGCAATATTGTTAACTTTTAAAAATCCCATTTGTGTAGTAAAATAACATCTTTTTGGTTTATATTCTGGCAGGTTTCTCGATTGCTAGGTGCTTTCAAAAACCAAAAACAGGTGACCAGAAGTTTTGGTAGTGCTGTGAGTATAACAGTACATTTTTGTTGCTTTTAAGAAGTTTCTCAAGAAAGGGGTTCAGAAATTTTTAAGATTGCTGCTGTTATTTTTACTTTCTGAAAAAATAAGGCCTAAATAAGCAAACATGTACACTCTTAATGTCATGTTGCATTTATATTGGTTAATTACTGTCTTTGGCAATTGCATATTAAAGTGTGAGTGATAACACAAAAGGCTCTAACAAAGGATAGAAGTGGCATGAAAACTTTTCACAAAATACGGACATAAGCCAGTCTTCTGAAACTCATTGGAAGTGGACAAATATTGGGCAAAGTAGAAAGATTGTTGAGAAGCTTCTCATTATTATTTTGCAGACTTTCCTCTAAGCACTAGATTTATTTTTACTGCTGCTTTTAGAAAGCCTTGCACTTGAAGCTCTGCATTTTCAAGGCTGTTGTTAAAGTGTTTTAGACTCTGGTTGTGTATTTCCTTGTAGATGTTTTACCTTCTTTATGTGTATGTGTTTGAAGTGCCCACGGGCCCTTTTTTTCAGCAAAGGCAGCCTTGAAAACTGCTCAGGCAGAAGCGGGGCTCACCATCATTCCATGCACCCTTAAGCAGGACTTAATTTTAAAGAGGAACTGTGGCTTTTAATTATATGTTTGTAGAACAGCTACTTGCTCATACCTTATACAGTATAAAAAGATTGAGAAGGTGAGGCACCTCTCGTTCTGTTTACACCACATCACTGTTTCAGAGGAAAGGTACTCTGGCTCGGGTGGAGTCCTGCTGTGTGCTGTGAAGCAACAGTGCAAGACAGCACAAAATTAATCTGGAGGCATTCCATCAGTTATGGGCTTGCTCAACAGCAGTGTCCTTTATGTGCAGCTTTGCTGCTTTTGTTGTGCATACTGAATTTCTTTGGCTCCAATTAATTAAAAAATCAGTCCATATATATTGAAATCCTGAATATTATGTGTGGAGAAGGATGGAAACATACCTTATGAGTTGATTCTAATTGGGGTTTTGCAAATAATGTTCTATCTGAGCTGGCTCTTTTGTAGGTAATAAGGAGCCCTTACAAAACTGTTGGAAATCTTTAAATAAAACAAAAATCGTATTATTAGAATAGTGATCATAATTTATTTTTTTAAATCCAAGTGGAGTACCTTCCCCTGTTATTCAGTGAGCCTGGGCTGTGCCATTTATTTCATCTGTTTGAAGATGATAAAATAAACAAGACTGAGACCATTATGGGAGGAAAATAACTTGATATTGTTAAAAATGGGTCTGAGATTTTTAGGAAGTCCCTTGAGAAGTTTAGATATGCATGAGATATTTTCTTTTGAAGGTGAATGTAGGTTTTCATAAATTTAATCTTTTCTAGCACGTGTCAGTATTACGCAGCATGTTGATAATATTGGAGACGTGGGTAACAGAGCTCTAACTAGGTAACGTTATCTCCTCGGCAAATTTCAAGAAGAAAGCATGCTGAAATCATTCATTTGAAGGAGTACTGAGCAGGAACCTGCCTTTCAGGTTGAACCTCTCTGTTTTGAAATAGGAATAGGTAGTAGGCAGATTTTTAAATTATTCTCTCAAATCATTTGTACGCTTCCTTTGAAAGCAAGCTAGTCCTTCTGTCCCATACTGCTGTTCTTCATATTGAGTATCTGGTAACTGAAACCTTCCTTTCTTTTGTAGTAGTTACTTGGCTCCTACAACACATGTGAATGTTTTCTATGTAGAAAAGAAACCATTCATGTGTTGTACTACTGATATTTCTTTACCTAGGTACAAACAGTAACTTTAATCCCAGGAGATGGCATAGGACCTGAGATTTCTGCTGCTGTCATGAAGATCTTTGATGCTGCCAAAGTAAGTCATATTTGTCTTGCTGTAAGTGTTGTAAGTTTAACTACAACAACAAGTATTAACTAAGTGTATTAAAAATGTTTTCTCTTTAACTTCCAAAAGATCAAGTTTAAGCTATTAAAACTTCTTGACAATAGAAAGAGTCTGAAGCTTCAGCAAATAAGACAGGATTGCGATATCAAGGCAAGGCTTGAAACTGTCAGCTGGCAGAGGAGTAGAGAGTTGAGAGCAAATGCTGGGTTTAATTTTTGGAAATACGAACTCCATATATCCTCTGAAATCATGCTGTTGATGTAGCAATCCCGTGCAACTGATGGAGGATGTTCTTTCATTCATTGAGACATACAGTGCAGATGAAAGTGTGTGAAAGGACGACTGGCTTATTCTTAGAAAGCAAACTGCAATTGCTGTGCTGCGCCGCCAAACACATTAACTGACATGATATGAAAACTAAGTCTGTCCAAGAACTGTTTTACTACCTGAGGAACTTTGCCAGAATTTGTCTGGTTTCCTTGAAGGGAAATACAGCTCTTCAGGAAAGATGCCTGTTAAATTGTTCCACACCAGGAACAGCACCAAGGCATATTCCCTTTCTATTATAACTATCCATCTGAGATTTGGAAAAAGTGATTCTCTTTAATTATATATGAAAACCTTGTAATAGTTTTGGCTGTTTCTGGGGAGTCAAGCAGGAGGTGCAGAGGAGTAAAATTTAAGTTCATGTGTGAGTGTATGTTTGCAATTCTTAATCAGATTTGTTTGTTTTAAAGGAGATTGTCTAGTATGTTATGCTTAGATTGGTTCTGTTTGCTTATGAAAGCCCTTGTGTCTTTTCCTCTGTGGTCCTTCCAGATGAAATGAACAGCCGGCAGCCTGTCCCCATTTAAAAGATTCCTGTGGTGAATGCAAATTCAGAAAGCATTGTGGAACATTTGCAGATTTTCAGCTAGATAACAGATACATATCTATGTTATGTACTGTCTTCCAGGCAGTATGAATGATGAGTTCTCAAGGAATTCAGTTGTCACATGTCTTGTCTCTTGTATACAAGGAACTCAACAGCTCTCAGAGCTTGAAAGAAGTAGGATGTATATTGCAATTCTAATGAATTCTGTGTGTATGACACCTAGGGAAGCATCTTGTGGTATTCAAGTTTATGATTATGTGCTGCTCATACTGTTTATTTTTCACTTCATTACATTTTTTAAAAACTGTTTATTTTTGAGTTCAAACATCTCACTCACCAGACAAAAATTGCTTGGGAAGGCCTGGACAAAAGTCCTTGTGCACCTTTTTGTGAAAGGGAAGTTAAAACTTGAAGCAAAAGTAATGATATTTAAGTTAACATGGAGTAAATGTGTTTAGGCTCCGATTCAGTGGGAAGAGAGGAATGTTACAGCTATCCAAGGACCAGGAGGGAAGTGGATGATCCCTCCAGATGCCAAAGAATCCATGGATAAAAACAAAATGGGATTAAAAGGTACTTTAGGGGTTAATACAAAGATATCAAATACTGTTGTTTTTATTGTGAGTCTGATTTAAAGCTAAAGTCCTTCATCTGTAACACAATAAAAAAGAGTAATTATAGAGGACAGTCTGTCAGATAGTCTTGTGTAATCTTAAACCAGTCCTTCATTTCAAAGCCATAACTTTCACAGATTTCTAGGAAATATGTTGAAGGCAGGTATTATTGCATCCAACCTTCAAAATCTGCAGAATGCATTTCTAATGCAGTTGATACACAATAGTATGTGATAACCCTGTTCCTAATGAATAGTATCTTTTTACATTGTTTTCAGTGAAAACCTTTTAGAAAAACTCCTATTCCATGTAGGGGTTGTGATTTGGCCTTTAAACAGCTGATGAATGTCGCTGTGCAGTGCTCTCAGTAGCACAGAGAACTCCCATGGCATTTCAGCATAAGGGTTAAACAGGAATTTGGAGATCCTCTGTAACACTACCACTTTTCATAGAGTTTCGACTCTAAAATTCACAGAAAGGTTTATCTTCTCATTCATTCTTGTATTTTTTTTTTTCTTTTCAGGGCCTTTAAAGACCCCAATCGCTGCAGGGCACCCATCAATGAATCTGCTTCTGCGCAAAACCTTTGACCTTTATGCCAATGTACGTCCCTGTGTCTCAATTGAAGGGTACAAAACCCCATATACAGATGTGAACATTGTCACCATTCGAGAGAACACAGAAGGCGAATACAGTGGAATTGAGCATGTGGTACGTTGATGGAAGTGGTGTGTTTCCAGCGGGTTTTCTGTGTTTCGTGAACGATAACTTTGCCCATCTCAGTGGCCCAGTACTGTGAAGTTGGGTGGTGTTTTTCAGGTTTGCTATCCATAAAAAAGTTATTTTATTGTGAAATGCCTTGTTGAGACAGCCTCACTCAGAATTCTGCTACTTTGTTCCAAACATTCAAACTAGCCACCTGAAAAATGAGCTTACGCTTTTACTATATTTACACCTACTGTCTTCCAGATTGTTGAAGGTGTTGTGCAAAGTATCAAGCTGATCACAGAAGAAGCCAGCAAGCGTATTGCAGAATTTGCTTTTGAGTATGCCAGAAATAATCAGAGAAGCCATGTCACTGCTGTGCACAAGGCAAATATCATGTATGTTGAGACTTCTTTTTGAGAAGAACAACAAATAGTAATATGCATTTAAGTTACATCTTCCTCAAGCGTATAACTTCCGTTCACGCTAGTGGGAGTAAGTAAAGCGGGCAATAAGTAAAGTAAATGTGTCCTAAGTAAAACGGGCAATACTGACCCAGTATCAACAGGGCTGTAATAACTACGTACTCATGCTTTTACTAGTAAGTTTGTAGTAATCCTGTGACTTTCCTTGCAAAGCTCTGATTTTAAAAACAGTCTTAAACTACGGAAATTAATTTAAAAACTGAGGATGAAAATGGCTAGTGTCTTTTACAGTTTCTAAGCCCCTTTGTACTGAACTGAGGTATAACGCGTGTGATATTATGTGACACCACCTTTACAAACTCAGTAGGCCCTTAGTAAATTAATATGAGTCATTCTGTGAATGAATGTATGCCTGTTAAACTACTGATACAAAAATATTTTAGGAGGAAATCTAAAAGGCGTAACTTCTCTGACTGTAATATATTTAAAGTATTATATTTAATATAAGGGCTAGTCACAAGTTTCTGTACTCTAATTTAATTTTCATTTAATCGTCTGTTGCATGCAGTTTTCTTTATCTTCAGATGGGTTACTTACAATAACTCCAATATTCTCTTGCTTATTTAATTGCAGGAGAATGTCTGATGGGCTTTTCTTGAGAAAATGCAGGGAGGCAGCAGAAAACTGTAAAGATATTAAATTTAATGAAATGTATCTGGATACTGTGTGTCTGAATGTGAGTATTTGTGTGTTTTAATTGTGGTTGTTTTTTAGTTTAAATTCTCAACCCTAATGAAAATGTACTTTTTTCTAGATGGTTCAGGATCCATCACAATTTGATGTGCTTGTTATGCCAAACTTGTATGGTGACATCCTCAGGTACGGAGATATTAATTTAAGCTAACCCAATGTGTAAAATACTGTTACTTTCCTGACAGTTATTCAAGTTATATGTGAGTCAGATGGGTGATCATTTTATGCATACAGAATTTAAAACTTTTAAAATCAGACTCTTAATGGGATGAAAGGTTGACATTATTACACTTCATTTATCAGTATATTGTTGGGAAGGGACTGTATGATGAGAACGTGCTTTTTATTTAAAAAAAAAAAGTTTCTGCTTACGGAAACCAATATTTTTCAGATGAGGCAGAGGAGAAATTTCTCCAACTGCGCGAAGAATTTCATGGTTTAAATTGTAATAGAGAATGTTTTGTAGATGTTGGGGAAAAACTTTCTAATCTTAAGCACTAAAATAGATAGGGTAAGATAACTCTGGAACCATGTTTAGAGCAAGCTAGCCACACAGTTAAATGATTCTGCATAGTCACTGAAGAATGAAATGTGTGGCCTCTTAATATCCTACCAGCTCTTGCTTTATGTATTGTATTTTTTCCTTCTTTTCAAATTAAATCTCATATTTAAATAACATTAATACTAGAGGTACTCGATGTGTTGAAGGCAAAATCCATCAACACACATTTTCCATTCTGTAAAATGTTTAGGTAGAGTGTAAGTTCAGTTAAATACCGTGTGTAAAATTAAGGATCTTAACCTGAACTTTTAAGTGTATAACATAACATTGCTTCTCCTTGCATCTTTAAGGAGGGATTGAGAAAACAGCCCGAATCAAAATTAGTTTAACATCTTAGAATCCATCTCCTGTTTTTGTACAGATAATAAACATAAAGGTAACTTACATGTAAGAAACGCTTGTTGAGCTTCTCTTAAAATTGCACTCTCTGATAAGGCTGTCTGTCACCTCTAAAAAATCAGACTCCAGCTAATGCTGCTTCTTTAAGTATTGTTAAAGGAGTCCATAGAGGAGTCACAGCAGCTGTTATGCTGTTAACTAGAGGAGATCAAATCAGATGAGTGCCATCATCAGTACTATTTCAGCTCACTTTACCTAGTTCAGTATCACCAATTTTAAAGTTCTCATAGAAATTCCATAAAGAATTTCATAGTTCTAAAAATTTTCAATAAATTTGAGTCTGTTCTTGAAGAAGAACACTTCTGTCACTGGGGAAAGTCTCACCCACAGTGCTTTTTTAAAGCATGAACATAATGCCAAACAGGTCTCTTGGCCTGAATGAATAGGTACAGAAGGAAAACTCTTACCTTGAAGCATCAAATACCTAAAATGACAAATGTAGACTCTATCAATTTTTTTCCCCCTAGCCTCTATACAACTAAGGCTAATTGGTTTCTTTTAGTTTAAACTTAAAATACTCTTCTGTGGGATCATCCAAACTTTTCTGTTTGTTAGTCCTTGATTAGCTACATCTGCTGATCTGCTTATGTCAGACTTGTGACTGATGGGCTGGTCAGTAAAGAGATGGGGAGGGCTAGGCTGGTGTCATCTGGAACATACTCCTTAAGCTACATGCAGTAAACTTTAAAACTACTAGAAATTCATCTATCTGAGCAAAACTATTCCCCATTTTTTAGAAGGACTTTATCTATGAAAAGTAGTAGTTCTGTTGCCTCTTCAGAGGAAATAACACTTCTGGATAATTACAAGGAACCGTACATTACAATTTTTGCTAGTTTTTGAGACTTCTACAGGTATTCTGTGCTTTGAGTAGCTTTTTTTGTGCTTATATCCTAATCAGTTTTATTTTAATATTTGGAATTTCCTTTTAATGTTCCTTTACTAAATTGCCTCCTGCTAGTAGTTCTACAAATTTTCAAATGTTCCAATGGAGTACAAGTGGCTAACAGCATCTAGTCTTTCCCAGTATTATTCTCAGACTGTGTGGGTGTATCAAATAAGTTACTGTTGCAATAAAATGAGGAAAAAAATTTAATATCTCGCAGAGGTGGAAAAACTTTTGGGGTTTTCTGTTTGTGGTTTTTTTCCAGTGACTTGTGTGCTGGACTGATTGGGGGTCTTGGAGTAACACCAAGTGGAAATATTGGTGCAAACGGAGTTGCAATTTTCGAATCGGTAAGTCTTGTCATGGAAGGTAGAGTAGTAATAACTACCTTGTCTCAAGTTGAGACAATCTGAAACTTTTCCATGACGTACAATGTAGCTGTCATTTAACTAAGTTCTCCATAAAACTATTTTTTTTACTGTGAAGATGCTGAAACTTTCCCCAGGGAGAGTAGTTAAAGTATGTATTACACGGTGTTTTGCATTCATTTTACTGACACTTTGTTTTCCCCCTTTTTCATAAGATAAATACCCTCTGTGAAATACAACTCGAGGGGCTCAATTAGGAGATATTAGGTGACCCAGTTCCCCTTTCAGATGCCTTTGAACTGACTTGTTCTGGTCTTTTCTATCTTCTTTCCACTAACCATCACAGTGAATTAAGTCCTATTTTAACATGACTGTGCATGAGGACTATCTTTCAGGCTGCTTGCATACTCTAGGACATTTTAAACAGCATATTGACATCATAACAGATAGGTTCACTTTTATTTCCAGGTTCATGGAACAGCACCAGACATTGCAGGAAAAGACTTGGCAAATCCAACCGCCCTTCTCCTAAGTGCTGTAATGATGCTGCGTCACATGGGACTGCACAAACATGCCACAAAAATTGAGACAGCTTGCTTTGCTACAATTAAAGATGGAAAGGTAACATGGGAGTGTGCAAATAAATACAGTGAATTAAAATCCTACTCTATCACAGCAAAAATTAACTAAGAACATGAACACCAGAGCAGTGGATAACCTGCTGTGCTGGCCTGACACAAGAGCAGTGCCCACTGTTCCTTCTCTGATAGTAATTGTATTGTCATTGGTGGTATTTAAATCCGCCCAGCTCAGCAATGACAGGCTGTTGCCCTCCTTGTGTCTCTGTAATGTTCATCTTACATTTCCACAGCTTTGTTAACTAAAAGCTAGAACTGGATGCCTGGTTTTCGTGAAGGTAATGAGAGGTTTAAGTAACTAGTGGTATTGCACTTGTGAAGTTTATAATGCATACGAAGCGTAGATATTAAATCTGGATCCTGAAATGAAGGACACTCATTTGCCTTTCACAGGCTTGATCATCCACTTCATTTATAGCATTTCAGTCCTGACTGTAGTACTTCTGGGCCCTCTTTTTTCAGGTCAATTATTTTCTTTTTTCCTCCTACCTGCTTTCACTCATTTTTGGACTACTTTTGAACAGTTTATATTCAGTATTTACATTTTACCTTAAGATTGTATGTGATTTCCCTTTGGCAATAAGTGTTTCCAGATTTGAGACTCAAATAGGATATTCTCAGAGGGGGGCTTATACTTTGAAACCTGACATGAATTTGTGCTCTTAACATTAGTGGTTCACTCATCTACTTTGACATCCACGTTTTCAAAACATAACTGGAAAGATCCTGAGGATTGCATTTAAAGAGGATTAGCAATTAGCCATGCTGGTTCAATTACCTTGGGCAGGAGCATAAGAAGCTGCTTCTGCTTTGTAATAAAAAGTAAAAAGCAAGCTTAAACAAAAAGCTGTCATCATTTCATAAGTGGTCTGTTTGCAGCTATCTTACTGTGTGTAGGAGCCAGTTAAAAAAAAATTAAAATCTAAACTTACAAGTGAATAAAGAGATGCTCCTGTCAAGTTCCCATTTACTGCCCTGGAAATGAAATCCTCCATCTGCAGGTCAGTAATTCTATGGAAGATAACATAGTGCAAGTTTTGTAATATGGCTACTTGGTTGCTAGTTACTTACAATGTTATGAGTGTATGCTCAACAATGGAGACAATCTTTTTACATTGAGAAAAGCATAATGCAGTTAAAATGACAAGATCCTAGAATAGGAACCTTTATTGCCTCTCATGCTTGCTATTTCTCCCGCTCCCCCACCCATTTAATTAAGAGGTGTGTGTGAGTCATGTAAGGGGAAAACTAATGATTTTAAATTATCTCCTAGACTGTTTTAATCTAGCTAGGTTGGACAAGCAATGGTGTCCACTTGTTTTTTTTTTTTTCTTTTACCATCTTCATGCTGCCAGTCAGGAGTTGTACTCAATGAAAAAGTTTCTTTTAACTCTGCATCTTTCTATCTCTTAACTAAACTAAGCAAACTTACAGAACTGTTAACATGCAGTATTAAGAGCTCTGTGTGCTTTTTCTGTGTGGGTTTCCTTTAAAAAAACAAAACCAAAAATCCTTACTGAATTACTCTCAATTAGTTGGCTTTGCACTGAGCCTTCCTATACAAATTTTACTTCCAAAGGAAAAACTTCCTATTGAAAACTTTAATACTTAACAATTAATTACACTGTTATGTGTCCAAGAGACTTGGGAGAGCTTTGGCCAAGTGCACTTTCTTCCTGTAGTTAAGATAAAATCACGCTGAAATCTGATCACATAACACTTGATGTTCATACTCAAGCTTTCTCTACCTGCTTCAGTCTGCATCGTCCTTATTGATGAAGGCTAGATGGGATGTGGAAAAACTTGATGTATTCTTTCTCACCCCCCTCTAGTATTCATACACAATGTATAAGGAGAACATGCAGAACTATTCAGAGACAAGACTAGCCCCATCAAATGTTTTAGTAATATTATTTTTGTTTTCTTTCTTTCAGGTATTGACAAAAGACTTGGGAGGTAGCGCCAAGTGTTCAGAATTCACAGAGGAGATCTGCCGCAGAGTACAGGACACAGACTAACCTTTTCTCATGCTACTTGCAATAACTCCAGAAGGACACATCACAACAAGTACATCATATGTAACCTGATATCCATATGCATATAGTTTGCTCGTCTCTTAAGAGAGCAAGCTTCTTAGTTAGGGCCTCTCCGTTAATAAATTTAGTCCAAATGGCTACAAATGATGCTTGTGCCTGCTTTCAGTGGACTTTTCTAAGTGCTTTGTCTTATTTATTTTTTATCTGGTGAACATTTTTATGTAAGTGAATTCTTTTATTGCCACTGTAACTGTCTACTGTTTCCCATTTCAACTAGAGGTTTTTACTTTCCACAAAGAAAAATTATGCAAATAAATCAGTAACAGAATTAGTGAAATGTAAAAGCACCTTAATGGTTAAAACCTATTTTATTGATCTTACTGAAATTTAAGGGATAGGTTTTCAGCCAAACAGTAGCACAAGCTTCATAAACAGAAACGGGTATAAAATAAAATAGCAATTTCATGTTAAATGCAATGAAAAATACATTTTAGATACTCTGGTGATTCACAAAATACAGCCTTGCCCTCCGAGGGCATGAATAAAGAAATACAAAATTCTAGAGATTTAATCTATTTCTGTATTTTTAAAAGCTCACGACCATTAACCAGCAAGGGGTGAGAATTAATGTTGAAGTAAAATTATTTTTCAAATCTATATACCAGAATAATTCTTAGAAAGTTTTCCTCTCTGAAACACTTTACAACGCAGTTCTAATGAGAGTAACACAATTACTTCTGACATATATTGTGAGGGGAAAGTATTAACTTTTCAAATTTATATGAAGTATTTCATGACTTCTGCTAGAATGCTTTTTGTGTTGTACTTCTATGTATCATCCTTGCAGTGTGTCTTACTGTACTGACTAGTAATTTTATTCTAAAACTCTGAATGTAAGGGACTAGTCCTAAATGGATTAAGACAGATCGAAGGCTTGGCTCTGGTGCCTATGTTCCAGAAATACATTTCATCCCTATTCAAGGGGATTTGAGACTATTTTTTTCCTGCTTCCTAAGCTTAATAGGCCCAAAAGCAACTCTTTTCCTCTCCCTTCTTCATCAATTCAGATTATCATAGGAGTCATTCTGATCTGTGTATCTTAGGGTATGCTTCCTTTAGTATACCCTACAAGAGAATGTGTATTTTAGAACTTACTTATGACTATAGCACAGCATTATCCCTACTGCCAGAATCAGGCTTCTTAAAGCTTAATTCTATTAATAGATATTACTCCACATAGTTATCTTCTGTTAAGACTGCTGAGGCTGGTTGTTTCAGAAGTAAAATCAATTTTGAGTAACTTCTGACAATGTCACTCTATAAAGTAAGCATCCCAGCTTTTTTTTACAGTCTAACAACATGTTGGAGGAAGGACAATGAGCTTTATTCCTCATGCACTGTGCTTTTGGTGAACAGGGCAACATTTCTTTCGGTGTTTTACAAGCTGCTGCTTCCTTGTTTCCTTTAGATTAACATTGTTAAAGAACTTCTGAATTACCATTACACACAAAATGGGGGAAAATAAACTTTTTGAACTCCTGTTGCTTGTTTTGTTTTCATGATCCTAGGCTGCTATCTTGTCTTATGTGTTGAGCTGATTGTTGGTACTTGCAACAAATCCCAAGTCAACAAGATGTGTAAGACTGGTAAGGGAACTTTTATGGAAACAATACCCTATTCTGCATGATTTTTTCTGATCGAGAACAGCAGCTGTAGCCTGCCTGCTTGTGTTAGCCACTGTAACACTCTGCCAAAGATCACTTACTAACAACAAACCCTTTAGACAACTTTCTGTCAAGTATGTCCATCACATATGATTTTTTTTTTAATAAGGGGAAGAAGAAATGCATGTGTCAGTACAATGTGAATACTGAAACATGCAGATAGACACTGACAAACATTGCTTCTAAACTCTTGCTTAAAAAGAACTGCAAACAATTCTAAAGAAGTTTCTGTTCTAAATAGCACTTCAATGTGAGAGCTCCTGTGTTCCTTTGTTTCTTTCCTGATGTCTTTCAGCCTTACAGATTATTTGTTTTTAAGAGAAACAGTAATGCTTATTTCAACATGGAGTTAAGAAAGGATGAGTTGCCATTTTCACAGAAGTCTGAATTCTAGCCAGTGTAAAAATGGAAGAGTGGCTGAAATGTTGCGTTAGTGAAAAAAAATTTCTCTGGGGGGAAAAAAACCAGCCCTTTTTAAAATAAATTTTTTCAAAAGAATTATCACTGGAGTGGTATAACAGTTTCACTAAGCAGTACTGCTAACTACTGATCTACCAAATTGTATCATGCGCTACAGGCAACATCCTGTAGAACCAAAAAAAAAAAAAAAAAAGATCACTCTAAAAAATGTTGTGTTTCAGTATAGAGCAATTAATTAGTTATACCTGCTTTATACAACACAAGAGCATGTTTTTAATCTTGATAATTTAGAGCATAAAGTAGAAACGATCAGAAAACAGACATGCTGTGTAAATGCTTCTGTAAAAAGAGGACAAACGATCAGGTGAGTATCAGGAACACCTAAATTGACACAGCAGCTTTCTAGTGATTCAGTTCCATAGACTACAAAACCAAAACCAGCACAAATCTTCATTAATGCTTTTGATTAGGAAATACTTTCTTTAGCTCACAGATCTTTCTTAATGTTTGGATGAACAACTTATTCTTTGTAGAAGGAGTCTATTTCATTTCTGTATTTCTCAAGCACGGTGAGCCGTTTTAACTTCATTGTTGGACCTTAAAAGAGAGAATTAGTCACAACAGCAGAAATACGAAAAAAAATTCCTACTCAGTTTGCGCTTTGGTTCCTAAGATTTTTCTATTAAAGAGCCTGTTTGGAAGAACTTCTCCCACTCTGTAAGTGTAGATACCTGCTAAAAGTGACAAGTGTGGTATGTAAGACTGCCTCCACGTGAGTACGAGGACTTCTTAAGAAGCTGCAGCTAAGAGAGGGATGACTGAGTACTACTACTCCTTGTCATTAAAAATAATTAAAAGGTTGATGTTTTTGAAGCTTTTAAACAATTCCCAGTTTATTCAAAGAGCCTAGTAACGTGCTTGGGGCTCTGTTGCAGGCTTTAATTGTCTTGCTTCTTTATTTTTTTTTTTTAAACAAGAAATTTTCAGTATTATTACTGGAAATTATTAATCCTGTAATGCACAAGGAATTAACCAGAAGTTATTGTTTAACTGCCTGAAGCAATCTGACATTTAACTATGGAGCTGTACTTGTAAGTGAGCACAGACGATACCTATGTACACAGCAAAAACTCCTATTTTTGTATTCAACACATGCTGCATAACATTTTTTTCCATTCCCTCTAGTGGTTGTACCCAGAATTTGGCATACAAAACTGTATTTGAGTACTCTTAGATCAGCAGCCTCTTTACTGTGTGTATACCTCAATATAAATCAGTAAATCTTACCTAGTTCTCCTCCAGAAATGGAAAAATCCCTTGGCAGGACTATCCATTTTTGAATACAATGAACCTTATTAGTAGCATTCATGTTGACTTTGTTTATTCCCTCCTGAATGGCCTGGTAGATCGCCTGGTCTCTTGTAGCTACGATCTCTGATACTTTAGTGGCTTTACTGCCAGTCTTCTGGCAGAAGTCTCTAGCTTGCTCAGTGAGAATGTCAGTAGGATCAGACGTATCTGGGTCCAGCACGCTCTAAAATATCAAATGAAGTGAATCATCAAATGCTTGCTCTTACAAGGCATCAACTGTTTCTCTGATCAGGTCGTCCCCAACCAGTAAGAATCAAGAAAGCTCAGCATCAACACCCAAACATTCTGTAAGCCTTAAAAAGCAGAAAATGCCTACAGAGGATTGTGCTTTTCTTTCCACTTGGTTACCAAATGCAAATATCTTCCAACCCAAAGCATTCTATGGTTTGATGATTTTTGGCTTATATGCAGATGACATGAACAGACTTAAAATGTGTCAATGAATTAAGCAATGAAGTCCATCTATAGTCCTTGAATTCCTACCATGTTTTCCAAATTACTCCACTGTTACATCATTGATTTGAATTACTGTGGTGTAATGTAAACAGCTTGAGATAGAAGCATTTCTTTGAAGTTAGACTAATTAAATTAGTATTTCTATTGTACCTGTAGATAAGGGAGTATCAGTCACAGAGGTAAACAACTTGAGAAAAAATCTAAAGGGTAGTTCACAATGTATGTACACAGAACATAAAGTGCAGATGTTTTAGAAAAAAGGATTTCAATTGAAGTATATACCACAGCAAAGCTATTAATTATTTTGTTCTACAGTCATCCTTCTTGTGTTATATGAAGAGAACAAATTGGAGATAAATGTTTCTGTTGGAAAGTCTGTTTCTGAGGAAAGTTTCTGATAGAAACTGGTTTTGCCCCAAGAGAAACATTTGTTGGCTTTGCTTGTGTCAGAATAAAAGCTGTTACTATGCTCCATTACAGACACTTCTCACTCTTTCAATAGTTCTTAATTAAAAATTTACATTTAAATAAAAATATTTATATGTATAGGATAAACAGCAGTAAACATGCAAATGTTTAGCAGATCATCTAACCATAAGAAGTTTAGACCATCAGGATTTGGTCTGTAGTTGCTATATGTTTTTTTTCCACTGACATCTTCCTATCTCATTTTGGGTCTTTTTACAAACAGTTAAAAATTCTTGTTTTGTTAGGTGCAGGAGTATAATTTCACAGAAATCAATATTAAAACTGGTGTACCTTTAGGGTCAGCAACATTGACAAAAACTTCTTTTTATCTCCAATCACCATAGCATTACTAATAATTGGAAGTTCTTTTTTAACAGCATCTTCAATTGGAACTGGAGGCACATTTTCACCTCCAGCTGTAATAATCAAATCTAGGCAAAAAAGAAAGGCTATTAGTTGAATTTAAATGAATTCCAAAGATCAAGTTCATGTCTGGATTGACCCACTTTTCTTATTCTGACATAAAGAACGAGAGATTTTTTTTCAAAGTATTCTCAAGGAACTGTTGCATAACCTGGAATTTTTCTTGGAGCAATTATCTCTTCCAGATTAGCATAAGATTCGCTCCCCATTTTACTGTTCCTCTCTCACCAAAAAGCAAGTTCATTGTTTTAACATTGTGATTAAAAACAATTATTAAAGCCACCA